AACATTTCGAAAATATAGTAATTTAATTTTCATTTCTAAATTATTTTAAAATATTTTGAAAATGATATTTCATCTTTTTGATTTACATGATTTGCTATTTGTAATTCCAGTCAAAAACATACAGTTTTAAAATGAAAACTAGGAACAAATTTTAAAGGCTATATGTGCTATATTGCTGATAAAAATTTATTGTATTTTAAAATGTTTAAACAATTAAAAAGATGTATATTGTTTTTGGAAACTCACCTACAAAGCGTTTAAATTGATTTAAAAATTTCCCGATTTATGTGTAGTTTTGAAGAAACCAACTATGGAGTGCTAAAGTCAACACGTAAACTAAAAAATATAATAAGCTTTCATTAATTAAAAATAATGATTAGAATAGCATATTTTCCGTTTGAAATGATGATTTCATAAAACGAAAGAACCTTCGAGAAATAGTTATAAAAATTAATAATTTAATATAATTATTTTCCTTTATCTAAAATTTATAAAAATACTTGTAATTTAGAATATTTCGTATTTTGAAGAAAATCGAACAATATTTTTTAAAAAAATTTCTATTTCCAGTATTTATAATGTTTTTCGAAAATGCAACCACAAAGTAAATCAGATACAATTACTTTTTTTATGACAATAAACGGAAAAAGTAAAAAATAATCAATAATAATCAAAAATGTCTACTCGAAATCAACTTGATGCAAATCAAAATGATAAACGTTATTTTATATTATGCAAACTATTCTAAAATAATTAAAATACCTACAATTCAGAAGTCGAGACAACTCAGTAACTCAACTGAGTAAGTAGAACTCAGACGAGAACAATTTTAAAATAATCATTCATTTATAAATTCTTTCAAAGGATGTCTGAATTTTTTAGAAATATTTTTGAAATAAATATAGTTGTAGAAAAATAATAGCATAGAACAGGGGTTTCCAACTGGCGCCCGGGGGCTGCATCCGGTCAGCGAAGCCTTTTTTTGTGGCCTGCGAACTAAAATATATTAGTTGTCATTTGTTTTTCGGACAATTTTCGTAAGAAATCTATATGAGTTTAAAATACTTTTCTCATTAATAGAAACCAAACTTCTTCGTTTCTGTGAAATTTAACACACCAGCGGTGCAAAAAAAATTATTTCTCGGGTTTTGCATCCAAGAAAATATTTATTCAAATGCAAAAATAATCGTGTATGTTTCTCTTTTTATTTCATTTTTTTTGTATTTTCTGAATATAATTTAGCATGTGTGTATCAGAAATTTTCTCGAAGAAATTCTCCGAATTAACTTTTTGAAATCACTCATTTTGGACGAAAAATTTCGTTTACCTAATTAATTAAATGTTAAAAATTTATGGATATTCATTACTTGCATAAAAAAAGTGTGTGCGCACTTATAGAACAAAAAGTGACGATTTTCTACTGGATAAAAGAGGGCGACATTTTTAATTAAAATGCTTTGGTTTCCCGCAATTTATTTAATCTATTTAGTTGGAAAGAAGAATTAACAGTCTTTAGATTGCAATAAGCGATGGGATCTCTTAGCGTTGTCTCACTAATTGCTCACTTAAATGTGAACTATCTTTAAAGTGCGAGATTCTACTTTCGAGGATCAGAACAAATAATTCAGAGACTACCGGGAATTCTACCTGTTAAAGCTAAATGGACTGTATATTTAAAGAATTCAACTTTAATTTTACGGCTTAGTGCCCAGATATTAACGACATGTGACTTTTATTTGGAAATGTGCTTCATTTGGTTAAAAAAATATTTTTTCTTTACGAACGGAATTATCTTTAGTGTAGTGTTAAGAATTATTTATTTGAATTCATCATTAATGTGAGCAATTTTGAATTTTTTTTAACAAAAATAAAAGGGATTTGCATTTGATTTATTAAAAAAAATAGACAGCGTGAATTACAAAAATAATAATTGCACGCAAATAAGCAAATTTATAGTTCTACAATCAGGATACAATCAGGATATGTGTAGTTATCTTACAAACTCAAGAATTCTGTTTAAAAGAAAGAAAGCTTTTAAATACTGTTTTTATAGACGTGCTTAATGTTTTCAACATCTAAATGATGTAATTAAAGATATGTGTAATGTGTCTAGGTTGAATTTGTCAAAACGAAAAGGGAGAAATTCTCAATATTCCACAAAATTACAGTCTCTTTCAGAGGAAATCTTGCGAATAATTTAATCTTATAAATCTGATTTAACAGGTTCTTTATTTTCCTATGATATAAATTTTTACACTCGTTGTTTATCAATTTATTAAAACAGTAATGCTATTATATTCCATGTCAAAATATATTGTTTAGTTTTGTTTCAACTCTGAGGGTAGTTTGNAAATGCTTTTTAAATAAACGAAAAATCGGTATAGACGCATCACAACATAAAAGACTTCAATTAAAAAAGTCAAATGTGATATGTTTCTTTTGTTTATATTCAGAAGTGAAATATTCAACGCTAACTATTCTTTATGCTTTTTTTAAGCATTGAAAATACGTTAAAGGAAATGCACTTTAGAAAAAAGTAAATTTATGTCCCAGGTCAAATTATTAGACACACTATAAGATTCTATGTAAAATCTTAATTTTTAGGTGATACTTTACAGCTTTATTGTTTTTACACGGTTTGCACTTGTTTACGATAGTGTATGAATGGGCAAACATTGTAATGCAATACGTTAAAAATAAATACAAGTAGGAAGTATATAAAAAATCTCCTTATAAATCCCCATTGCATGTGTGTGTGAGTATAAAATTATTGCCTATAAACTCATGCAAAAGATGTCATTATTAAAAAACTACATTGCATCTAATCATTTTGTCTAATTATTATAATATACTAATAAAATACCTGATATAATAAATATTCTATATTTATATTACATATCGTCTAATTTATCCAATTTATATTATCTATCATCTAATTTAACCCATTGATACACTAACGTAAACAAGTGCATATCGGTTTTAGTCATATAAAAACAATAAAGCTGTATAGTATCACCTTATAATTAAGATTTTACATAGAATCTTATAGTGCCTCTGATAATTTAGTCAGGGACTTTATGTTATTTGCCTACTGTGAATTACAAAATTAAGAATTTTGTTTTTGCGTCAAAAAGTTTGTATGCTTACTTAACTTCATCAAAAAATTGTGCACGGTTTATTCATTATACATTAAAAAGTTTCGAATTTTCTCTTTTAACCAAAAATTTTGTTTACCTAATTAATTAAATGTTTAAAATTTATGGACATTCTACTTGCATAAGAAAAAGTGTGTATGTGCACTCGTACAAAAAAAGTGACGATTTTCTACCGGATAAAAGATGGCGACATTTTTAATTAAAATGCTTTGGTTTTCCGCAATTTATTTAATCTATTTAGTTGGAAAGAAGAATTAACAGTCTTTAGATAGCAATAAGCTATGGGATCTCTTAGCGTTGTCTCACTAATTGCTCACTTAAATGTGAACTATCTTTAAAGTGCGAGATTCTACTTTCGAGGATCAGAACAAATAATTCAGAGACTACCGGGAATGCTACCTGTTATAGCTAAATGGACTGTATATTTAAGGAATTCTACTTTAATTTTACGGCTTAGTGCCCAGATATTAACTGCATGAGACTTTTATTTGGAAATGTGCTGCACTTGGTTAAAAAAAGTATATTTTCTTTACGAACGGAATTATCTTTAGAGTAGTGTTAAGAATTATTTACTTGAATTTATCATTAATGTGAGCAATTTCACATTTTTTTTTTAAGAAAAAGGGGGATTTGCATTTGATTTATTCAAAAATAGACAGCGTGAATTATAAAAATAATAATTACACGCAAATAGACAAATTTATAGTTCTAGAGTTTATCTACAATCATGATATGTCTAGTTATCTTACAAACTAAAGAATTCAGTTTAAGAGAAAGCAAGCTGTTACATACTGGTTTTATAGACATGTTTAATATTTTTAAAGGATAAATGATGTAATTAAAGATATGTGTAATGAGTCTAGGTTGAATTTGTCAAAATGAAAAGTCAAGAATTCTTAACATTAAACAAAATTTCAATCTCTTACAGAGGAAATCTTGCGAATAGTTTAAATCTTATAAATCTGATTTAACAGGTTGTTTGTTTTCCTATGATTTAAATTTTTACACTCGTTGTTTATCAATTTATTAAAACAGTAATGCTATTATATTCCATGTCAAAATATATTGTTTAGTTTTGTTTCAACTCTGAGGGTAGTTTGGCTAATATATATGTAGTTATAATACTTTAAAGTAATTTAACTATTATTTCAACTTTATTTTTACATCCTCATGCTTCTCTTTGATCTTCTGTACTGTTAATAAATTTAATAAATGCACAAAAATCACATAAAAATTTCTGTTAAAAATTTAAAAAAAAATTAACCACTGATGTAACAATTTCTGATAAAATCCAATATATAATAATGTGATAAGTATATTTCTTAGTTGAAATTTTATATTTGATTTCAGTGAAATTTATATTTAATTTTAATAAAAATAACTCTGATTTTAATTTGTTGAGAGTAATTTCTAATATTGACATACGAAACCTGCTGCTGTTCGTTTTTAAAATTATATCAAACTATAAAAATAGTATTTTCTGGAGACAAAGAAAAATATCCCAATACAGAAAAATTCACTGTAATTCTAAATCCTAGTGATCAGCATAGGGAGAGACGAAGATTAAATGTACATTTAAATGTTTTTCATGTAATACTGTTGTAGTTCTTCTTATTTACTGGGATAACTTTTAGCGTTGTAGTAGTTTTTTTTTTTCAATTTTATTTAACTGTGATATTTTTAGCGTTAAGAAATAATGCTTTGCTGTAATTAAATAGGCAGACACAAAAGTGAAAAGAATTGCATATAATTTATTCCCAACAAATAAAAACAAATAATTCCAACAAATAATTGAACAAATAATTCCGTGATAATTTCTTATTTACAGTAAAGCTTTTTAATGGCACTAAATTTTTAAATCCAGTCAATCACGAACCTGAGAATAGATTCAATAAGAAGAGAGCCGTAACACAAATCCATTTAAGTGTAAGTTCCGAGATCCATGTCAGTCCTTCAAAGTCATTTACCAGAAAGCAGAGTATCCAGATGGTCCCATATAGGCGTGGTGAGGATGACCCCAGTAATGACCTGAATAATGACCCGGGTAGTAATAATTAGGTACAGCTGGTGCTACTGGAGCAGGTGCTGCTGGTGCTTTGGGAGCCAGTGCAGCAATAGCAGCAGCTTCAGCGGCAGTTTTTCTGTCTACTCCAATATCTCCAGTAGCTTTGAATCCATCGGGTCCGGCGGTGTAGGAAACGACTCGTCTGTCTCCATTGGCATCAATATAACTGTAACTGCCAGCAACATTTCCCCCATGTCCAGACTCCGATCTGCTGTGGCCACCAGCATCTCCTGTGTTGTATCCGAAGTTGTAAGCGCCACCAGCAATATTCATGCCCATGTCTGCGGCTAAGGCGACGGAGGCCAGCAACAATGGAACAACTAACTAAATATAAAAAAATATATTTAACAATCTAGGAAATTTTATGCCGGTCTTAAAATTTTGTTATTTATTTTCATTTTTAGTGTCTCATAAAAACCTTCATGTCATAAAATAAGTTCTATTTTTGTTAAAGTACACATAGCACGCATGCATTATGCTTGATTATTTTCGGCATGTATTGTTATACGATACTTGCTATTTGTTAAAAAAATTAAGATGGGGGGATTTCCTACTTATTAATATACTTTTATTCTATAAAATTTAATAAGAAATAAAAATATAATAGCAAAATTGATTTTACACAAGCTTGACAAATAATTTTATTTTTTAGTGCTATATATCATTGTTTTCAAAATTTGAACATGAAAAATGTTGCAAGCATTACTAAGGCTATAATAGGCATGAGAGCATTAGACTTATTTAATACTTTCATTAAAGATCTATGTATCATAATTATTTCAGTATTCAAAATGTATTTAACAATAAAAACAAGGGAAATATTTCTACCATTTCCTATTTTAATGGCTAAATTTTTCTTAAAAGAAAAATGAAACCTTTTTTTGTATTTATTTGAATATTGTCTTCATGATTAATGATGCTAAATAAATAAGAATTCTCATGAAAGCAGTTTTTATCATCAGATTTTCTTATTATATTTCTGTATTAGAAAAAAAGAATGTAACAACTGAATGTATAGAAATATTTGGGGGAAAACATTTTTAAAATGGGAATAGTTTTAAAGTAATGACTTCATTAAGAGATTATTTTAGATTTTACTCATTATTTTGCGTAAAATATAATGTTATGTTAGATTCAGAATTTAAAATTTAATTGGTGTTCATGTTTTTTTCATTGTATAATACATTTTGAAACCAATACTTTAAATAAAATATATTTTAACCATTCATTTCAAAACTTTAAAACAAAAAATTAATTTATAAGAGTGTCTGAGTTAATCTAGCACATGTTATAAATATAATTAAATATTATAAAAACTGAAGTAATAATTTAAATAGAAAAAATATTTATATATTTTGATTTAAATGAACTGCATTGAGGAGTTTAAAAAAAAGTAACTCCCTTTAATTTTTAAACATTTTTCTTCAAAACTAAGTTTATTTTGATTATTGCTCGAAACTTATGCTTTCAAGAAGAAAAAAAAGAGTTAAATGTAATTCTAAAAAATCTTCTTTTTAAAGGCAGAAAAATCGTTCTAGATTCCATATCTTTTACCTCGTTTTTTAAAAGATTTGTAAATTTTCCTAAAAGTAGACTTATCATGCATCCATTTATTCTTCTTTAATTCCAATAAAACCTATTCGATCTTATTGAGTTTCTCTTAGAAGTAGTGAAAGTTGAAATTTATAAGATTTTGCTATCTAATTATCTAAATAAATGACAACAGCTATCTTCTAAAGCTATCTCTATACCGGCTTCACATTTCCGGGCACACATTATATTTAAGTATCGGGATATATTGCTACAGCTTGAATATAATACCAAAGTACTGTTTTAGTGCTAACTCAACAATATATACAATAAGCCCCGATGTTTAAAGAAAATAGAAGAGGAGGTTTAAGCATCAGACTTAATTTGGGCGACTCCAGGTAATTAGGATATTAAGTCAAAATGAATATAAAATCAAAGTTCGTTTAAAAAGCCTTTTAGTTATAAACACAATTCAATATTTATTTCTTAAATGTCGTTTTTAAATAGATGGGTTTTTTAAGTTTTGTTATCTAATGTGCATATTAGATCTATTAATCTAATATTTAAACTCAAATATAAATGGATGCTTTTGTTGCTCGTGAATAAGATTTAATTTACTAATGCAGGACCAGAAAGAATTTTGAACCCCAATCGATGTTAACAACATAATTTAATAAAGATTAGTATTTAAGAAGAAACTTTAAATGATCTTAAAATATTAACACATTATTTACACTGTATGGCATTCCAAAAATCAATTGACTTCAAAATTACATTGATCGAGGTTTATACTTATTACATAAACTGATATTATTTGTAATTGACACTTGGTAACATATTAAAATTTAAATGAAGAGTTAAAATCTCAAGATTATTAGCTGGTATTCTTTACATATGATCTGGGATTAAATCATGATCCTGAACTTAAAATGACTTTTTTTTTACCTAAGGGGATAGAGAATAACGTCACCTACAAAATAACTTCATCTCTTAGCTATAACACCTAATATAACTACACCTAATATAACTACACCCAATGTATCTAAAAATATTGTCCTATTACTTCAAATCTAATCTACTCTAAATTCTTTTATTACATTGAATTTTGATCCCTTTGATTTCTTATTTTAATTTCAATATGTAAATCAAGGGTAAAAAATGTACAGTGCTCGTAGATGTAGATGTATACTGCTCGTAGATGTAGATGTGTACTGCTCGTGGAATTGAATCGAATTATAATCATGTATGCAAAATAGATTTAATATTGATTGGAGATGGCAATAACTTTGCTATTAATTATTTATTAACTATATCAATTACTCGCAGTATATTACGCAATTTTTGAAAATATTAATTTTGAGGTTTAAAAATAAATTATTATCCTAAGCGCAACGTAAGCAGCAGTCACTCTTGGAAAAAAAAAACTTTCAATGCAAAATCTGAATTATCTTAAAAATTATTTGAAAAATTTATGAATATTATGAAGCCCTAGATTTTCACACACAGCTCGATAAAAACAAATTCAGCATCTAATAATAATCATGATTAAATGATTGGATACGAAAAAAAAATCTACTCTTGCGAATCTTAAGCAACAAGATTTGGAAGCTAACAGTCGATTGCTTAATATGGATCAAATGCGTTTGAATCCAATTTTCAATTTATACAATCCCAAACATCGAACCGACATATTTATGAAAACAAATATTATGTCAAAAAAAATTTTTAAAAGTCAATTCCTAATTAGGTCAAAAAATAAATTTTTTATTTTAGTTACTTTTTATTAAATAACTGAAATTTTTTCTCCCATATGAAACTAAATTTAATTAATTAAATTTAATGAATGAATTAATGTTTGGAAAAACTGTATAAACAGCAAGTGTCACCTACTAAACGTTTAAAAAATATATTTGAACTCTAAGTGGATGATTAAAAAGTATTTTATTAACTATTTAAAATTTGAACAAGATATATATATATATATATGGGTCATTCTCACGAAAACTGTCATTTTTCAGTTCATAAAATCCCAAAAAAGTAAAGTGAATAAAAAGCTCTGAAACTTTTTATATTAATAGAAATATGTAATGGCATTATAAAGAAAGTATATATCCTATAAATTATACTTAATATTTAAATTAATTAATTTTTTAAATAATTAATTTATAATTAATTTATAATAATTAATAATTAATTAATTAATTTAATAAATAAATTAATTAATTTAATAAATTAATTTATTAATTTTTTAATTTATTTTTCAAATTAATTAATAAGTAAATTAATTATTTTCACTATTTAAAAAGTGAGGGAATGACA